GAGTTCGGGGTTAATACCAGAATAAAATGCTTGGCTGCCTGGATATTCTTTAGCAATGAGGAATCAAATTTGCCGGCGTAGAGTTTGTCTACATCGATGAAAACCTGGAAATAACATATTACCTTTGGGAAAATTCCTTAGGTTAATGCTGCACTCACTTTATAGCCTTTCAACTGAAGCAGAACCTTGATAAGACTAGCTAGTTGATTTCCAGTGCTTCTTCTGTAGCTTATGAATACGTCGATTTGTTTGCTTAGAACGGCAACTTCTACCTCATCAGGATGTTTTGCATCTGCAAAATGAATGGGTGTTATTAATTATAGATGAAGACATTCGCAAAGAAAATGGAAGTAGATTAAATCAGCATTGAGTCTTTGATGCTAATTGATTGACCACTTCTATCCCCATACTCGTGTAGTGTAAAGTAAATTCTCAAAGTAATGAATCACCACTAAAGATAGTTCCCATCAATTCAAATGAAATGATGAAATCGTTGAATAGAGATCGTCAGGAGGTTTCTCATTCGTTTCCAGTAAAAAACGACCTCAGTGATGAAATTCAACAACCCCGAAGACCTGCAATAAGCGGGCGATAAGCAGGCGATACACGACATCTACAGCTATGCATCCATAAACCTTTTCCGGAGGCTGTCAGGCTCTTGAAACTAATTAGGAAAAGCACCGATCAGTCAGAGTAGAAAAACTACTTCTACTTCGGAAAAGATCTACTTCATCGACCTACATTAATTCCCCTAAACCCACGTGTAAGCGCTGAAGCCCTCAACCGTTTTTTCACTCTCCATGCTTTTCTCCTCAGCTAGTTTATTAAGCAGAAAAGTTTAATTTCTTGATATAGAAGAGATCTGACTTTGGAATGCTTGAGTCATCTTCAGCCGATGAATCGGATTCGTGATTCCACAAGCGGTTTGCATCAACTCGTCCGTTAGCGAACCAAGCAAGGATCTGTTGATCCCGCATGAGAGCATCTAAAGACGAATGAGTCTGGTAGGAACAGGCAAAGCGAGATCAACTATTACACCTACTTTGTAAGTATAAACGGACAATTCTGGGCTAAGCGACATGAGCAATTGATCAAGGTTGCTTTCATCAACAGCAGAGTAGTCTGCAGCAATCTGAAA